GTGTACAATATCATTCACAAAGCTCCAAGTTTTCTTTCTTTTCCCTAAAACTAAAAGATCAAAAATCACAAAGAACAAACCTTTATGGGGCAAAAAAAAAAAATCATCAGCTAACATGCTTAAGCGGATGACAGAAAATGACATAATCCTTACCCTAAGTACAATCATCGACAGGCATATTAAAAGAAATCCCATGGAGTTCACCCAAAAATCTAAAAGATCTACAATTTCCAGAAGAGACCCAAGAATGTTCGAGCTTTTTCTCTTGCCATTTTCTCTTCTCCATCACAAAACAACCCACTTCCCCCACCCCAGCAAAAGGACATACCAAAAACAGAACAATAAGAGGTGAAGAAAAGTGGAAACTCACTGATCATATGAAGTATAGCTGTAACTCCGTTTTGAAAGCTGAAATAATGACTAGGAAGAAAGATTGCAGGGAAGATGATGAAGGGATACAGGGAAGTTGCTAGGAAGATGCAGTGAAGACTAGAGGCACATGTATCAATTTGTTAATGAAATTGAAAACGAGTGAAGTAAAAGACATTATTATTATAAACAACCACTCTTCCACACTGCTTTCCTCATCTCCTCAACGATGTAAGCCCCTTCATTTTTCTACATTTCTCTATTTGTCCCCCACGAACATGTTTTCTTTCATTTGCACCTTTCTCTAATCATAAAACTTTCCTTTTTTCCCCCCCCTTTATGTATCTTTTCTTGAGGTTACAAAGTTTTTCTGGAAGAGAGAAACGTGTGATCATGTAACAAGAAAAGGTCGTGGAATGACTTGTTGTGTCCACATATACAATGGATTACTCATCAAAAAACTAAAGAAAGAGGTCAAAAAAGTGGTATAATTGACGCTATGTCCGATAAAGTTTTGCCAACATTGCTTTTTGGTTGAACCCACATAGATAAACTTTTTATAAAGCTCAAAGAATCATATTTGGTTGTTTGTTGAGACTTTCATATGTATATGCCTTTTAGTAATTTTCTTAGAAAGATGACAAAGCGGTATCTCTTATAACAATTCAAATTTTTCACTTCAACTTTTTACATTCATAAATCATAAAATGTAATATTTTGCAAGTAAAGAATGGGAAAATTCATGTTGTATTTTATTAAAATGAAAATTACATTAAATTTTGAATAAAAATTTAATATCATGGCAATAATTAATAAAAGTTATGAGTAAAAAATATTTTGTCATGTTCAAAAATCAGAAGCAATGGAATGGACATAAACAATATTATAATGGCTAATGGGAAAATAAAATAGAATAGAAAGAAAGCTCGGGGACTCGAATATAAATTAATAATTAAACGAGGAAGGAAATATAGAAGGGTAGAGACCCATCGTAATCATTAATGGGCAGCACGCGGAAACGGTCGTTTTACATATTTAACCCCCGTTTCGGGTGGCCTGAAATGGGGCCTGGATCTAACAATACGGTCAACCCGGAAACCGGATGCCGCCAAATTGATCGACCCGGTAATCTTGATGGGCTTATGCTTTAGAATTAAGAGCAGTGTTTTTTTTTTTTTTTAATGTTATGCAATATGAATTGAACATATATAATTATAATTACTATATAGGGGTGTGCTTTTTAATATTAATAGCTCTTCTCATTTAATAACTTTTAGTTTATAGAATGAGCAACTTTTAAAAAATATATTTTAAGAAATTTAAAATTTAAAATTTTAATTTTAACACAAGCAG